TGGTTACATATTTATACAAATTTAAATAAGTTGATCAAGTTGTTTTTGGAAATAAAGTTGGTCATGTTATCAAAATATTTTTAAAAATTAATAACTGGATATATTTTTTTTAGGGTTAAATGCATTAAATAGCAATCTACTTTCATAAAATTTCTTATTATATCATTCTACTTTTGTTTTTCTTTATTACAGTAATGTACTTTCAAATTATTTTTTATTAAGACATTGTACTTTAAAAAATCTACCCATAATAGCAATGCGTAATCTTTTACCTTTTAAACCGGTTAACCATTTGACTTTATTGCTTGTGTGGCTTTAATGAGGTGATGTGGATAACACATCATTTTGATGACTTAACTAAAATTAAAATAAAAATCTATTTCAAATTATTTTTATTGATTTTCATTTTTTATTGCTATGATCTTAAAAATATTTAATTTTTTTTTACTTTTTATTATTAAGTTGCATTCAAATTAAATATTCTTAGAGTAAAATATTTATTAAATAAATATGAAACATTATTTTCGAGATATATTTTGTTTGTAAAAAATGTAACTTTTCATATTTTATGTTGTTCAAATAAATACATATCTTTTAAAGTTCTCTTTAATATATTAACGAAATAAATTGTTATCTACAATTTTTTAATATTGTTATATTAATAAATATTTCAAAAAAATATAATTAATTTAATATATTTATACGTCAAGTAAAAAGTTTTTGAACAAATATAATATATTCTTTAAAAGATAATAATTTTTTGGTAAAAAAAGAACAATTCTTATTTTCTCTTTTTCAAAAAACACATATGTTTTTAAAAGTATTAGCGAGATAAGTTGTGTTCTACTAGTATTATTGATATTGGTATATTAATGAATAATTTAAAAAAAATTAAATTCATTTAATACATTTATTAAATAACATGTAAAATATCTAAATATTAAAATTAAAATACAGTGTTTAATAAGAACTAGTAGATGATATAATAAAATAATTTTGAAAGTACAATGATGTAGTAAGAAAGTCACATCATTATAATACATGTAGACAGCCTACGTGGACAATGAGGTGGCATGGAAACCTAGTATAATGGGTAAATTTAAATCAAAAGGTTACCCAATGCTATAATGRGTAAATTTTTCAAAGTACAATGTCTTAATAAAAAATAGTTTGAAAGTACATTGCTGTAATAAGAAAAACTGAAAGTACAATGCTATAATAAAAAAAATTATGAAAGTAGATTGTTATTTTGTGCATTTTGCCCATTTTTTTATTATCTTGGATATCCAACCCATTATGCAAGTCGACTAATTCCAGGACGATCACATGTTTTACGGATAGTCGAGAGTCACCGCATTTGAACCTCCGTGGTCACAAGAGGATTTTTTCCATTGACGGACCCATAAATTTTTCCAAATTGTGCGACTATTTGACTATAAAAAAAAATCAAACGGTGGCATTGTTTGACCATAAGAAACAAATATAAAGATTTTTTTTCTCCAAATGGTGACAACATTTGACTAAGAAAATAATATTAACAGGATTCGAACTTGGGTCTAGGGTGGAATAAAAGTCTTGCAAACCAACTCTAACAAATAAAATTTGTTCTCATTGTTGTTTCAAAATACAAATGGTGACACATAATAAATTAATACGGTTGCACCTTTCACAAACCTAATTTTTGTTACCCTTCAATGGAGAAATAATAAGGTGGCACGTGCCATATTCTTCGTTTTAGAACCGCATTTTCATTGTCAATCAGGAACAATCAAGAATACGTCATGTGTCCATATTCTTCATGTAACCAATTTTCTTTTAGTAGACTAGAAATTCATGGATTTAATAAAAAAAAATGGATGCACTTTCAAGACACTTTTAACACTTTTTTTCACTGTCAAGATGATAGAACGGATGCACATTCGCCCCCTTTGTGCTTCTTAAATCTGCCTTTTGTGAACCAATAAATCACATACAAAGGTTGAATCTGAAGGTAAGATATGAAGGAATTTGTAAATTGAATTTCATTTCAATCTCATGTTTGATTTGAAGTACTTAGGGTCCGTTTAGTTTGCATGATTGTTTTTGAAGTATTTGGATTTTATATAGGGATTTGGATTTGGATTTGAAGGGATTTGAAATCATTGGTGTGTTTGGTATGTAGGATTTGGAATTGAATTGAATTCCATTATTTATAAATAATTTATAAAAAATAATTATAAATAATTAATTACATTTTTATTAATCGATTATTACAAAACAAATGTTTTCTACAATCCCATGAAATCCGGTGAAATCTCCAACACTCACTATCAAAATCCTATGTTTATAGGATTTCAATTAAATCATAAGATTTCAAATCTAGACAATCCAACAAACCAAACATGAGATTGGAATATATTTGAAATCCAAATCCTCCTAAATTCATTTCATTCCTGCAAAACAAACAGTATTTTATAGGATTTTGAAATCTCATGGGATTGGTATTTCATAGGATTTGTATGTAATAATGGTTTAAAATATATTAAAAACATTTGTTTTGTAATAATCAATTAATAAGAAGATGCTTCAATTATTTTTGTCATTATTTATAAAAAAATATTTTTTTATAAATAATGTAATTTAATTATATTCCAAATCTTACAAACCACGCAGAACTCCTCGTAAAGGAAAAAAGCTATTTATATTTAATTGAAAAAAAGTTTCAAAATTCCAATAAATAACAATTATCTTGTGAACATGTTGATCTAATTCATAATTCAACTACAAACTGCCCCGCTACAGTCTTTACAAACATAACAAGAGCTCTTATTTGCCAACTCGACCAAACTAACTCGGTATATCTCAATAAAATTAACATTAGGGATTTACCAACCCTCCCGAATCTCCTATCGARCATCGTGAAAACCGAATCAAACTACCGTTAAACGGAAGGAGCAGGTAAAATACCCCATCTCCGTCTTACGTCCTCTAAATCTTCATGAAAATGCTTCTCGTAATAAACACACATAAGATCGGTCGATTTCATACCTGCCCGAATTGCCCAGGGAAAGTAATGTTGGTAAAACAGTGATCGTTGCTTGTCGTTGAACCTTGTCGTTCCTCCGATCACAGACAAGAAGCACATTGGAAGCAACATTTGCTCGAACTCTATGACTTTTAAGGCCGATTCGCCAATCAAATTGGTTGGAAGGCCAAAGAGGGTGTGCCAGAAATCGTGCACTTTATGTGCACGCATAGCTGGTAGGTTATTTCGCAAACCTTTAGACTTATAAAAGGAACCACAAAGCAAGTATACAATATGGCTCAATATCGTTTTTCAAGTAATAAAGTGGTAGAATACCGGTTTATTGTCCACAGAGATTGTAACAAAAGTCTAATAAGAATCCAATGAAAGAGATGAGGGAGATCAAAGAAAGGCTGGAGGAGAGCATCAACAAGAAGATGAAAAGGTTGAAGAAGAGGTTGAAGAGTTTGAAAGCAGACAACAAAAGGCTGGTGGAAGAGAATTTGTTGTTGAAGGAAGAAGTCAGGGTGCAGGAGATAGCAACTCAGGCTTCAAAGCCTACTTCTTTGGAGTAGACAAGTTCAATCACATTACTTTAGTCTCCAATTTTATTTTTCCTTTTAAGTCTAGGATAATTCTCTAGTTTTAGATTTAGTTTCTTTACAAGATCGCATGTTCATTGAATGTCACCTTTGATTTCATAGCCTGAATAATTCTGAGGTTATTGGCCATTCACCTAGTAATTATGTTGTTGCTAGAATTAGCACAATTCTTTTTGGGACATAACTTGACTCACACACTAATAAACAAAGAGGTAGGATATAGGCCCTCATTCACAATCTCACAAATAATCCTCATGTACCCTCTATGCACTATACACCCCATATAGCCAATGAGGGCATTGTCAATCATACTATCTAAAGGGCCTTTTACCAAACTCTTACTGATTAAGCGCTTACCTAGTGACTAGTGCCACTTACCTTTTCTTTGAAGTATATAATATTTATATATGGCCAATGCAACAATTAAACTCACGCACCTTCCTCACTTTTGATGAGGTTTGAACCCTTGACCTCCTAGGAGGCCAAAGGCTCGGATACCGAGCGGCCAAAGGCCCTTTGGTGATTTTCACTTACCTTACTGGTAAGCATGACAAGGACTGAGAATCTTACTAAGGTCACGTCTGGTTTGTGGTATTGGATTGGATTTGGAGGAATTTGTAAATTGAATTTCATTTCAATCTCATGTTTGGTTTGAAGTACTTAGGGTCCGTTTAGTTTGCAGGATTGTTTTTGAATGATTTGGATTTCATGGAGGGATTTGGATTGGCATATATTTGAAGTCATTAGTGTGTTTGGTATGTAAGATTTGGAATAGAATTGAATTCCATTATTTATAAATAATTAATTCCTTTTTTATTAGTTGATTATTACAAAACAAATGTTTTTAAAAAAATTTAAAACCTTATTTCATACAATCCTATAAATTCCGGTGAAATCCCAAACACTCCCTAAGGATTTCAAAATTCTATGTTTGTAGAATTTTAATTAAATCTTAAGATTTCAAATCCAGACAATCCCACAAACCAAATATGGGATTAAAATGGATTTGATATCTAAATCCCCTAAATCCATTCAATTCCTGTAAAACAAACCGGATCTTATAGGATTTTGAAATCCCATGCGGTTGGTATTTCACGAGATTTCATAGGATTTATATGTAATAATGGTTTAAAATATATTAAAAACACTCGTTTTGTAATAATCAATTAATAAGAAGATGATTTAATTATTTTTATCATTATTATAAAAAATATATTTTTTTATAAATAATGTAATTTAATTCTATTTCAAATCTTACAAACCAAACATAACTCCCCATAATAGTTAGTTTTTTTTTTCCTTCTGTGTATCTTGAAAGAAAAAAAGCTATTTATATTTAATTGAAAAAATAGATTTAAAATTCCAATAAATAACAATTATCTTGTGAACATGTTGATCTAATTCATAATTCAACTACAAACTTTATATGTTGTGCCCAGCTACAGTCTTTACAAACATAATAAGAGCTCTTATTTGCCAACTCGACCAAACTAACTCGGTATATCTCAATCGAAATAACATCAGGGATTTACCAACCCTCCCGAATCTCCTATCGAACATCGTGAAAACCGAATCAAACTACCGTTAAATGGAAGGAGCGGGTAAAATACCCCATCTCCGTCTTACATCCTCTAAATCTTCATGAAAATGCTTCTCGTAATAAACACACATAAGATCGGTCGATTTCATACCTGCCCGAATTGCCCAGGGAAAGTAATGCCGGTAAAACAGCGATCGTTGCTTGTCGTTGAACCTTGYCGTTCCTCCGATCACAGACAAGAAGCACATTGGAAGCAACATTTGCTCGAACTCTATGACTTTTAAGGCCGATTCGCCAATCAAATTGGTTGGAAGGCCAAAGAGGGTGTGCCAKAAATCRTGCACTTYACGTGCACGCATAGCTACGTATGCGAGCTCTTCGGTTTCCATGAACCTCACTGGCGGCCGATCATCTGGGGAGAAGTTTCTAGATCCCATGAACTTTGCATACGCAGCACCAAATGTGTTTTCTGGAAGGTCCCACGCGTGTCCTACGTTTTTAGAGATGACACGAGGCCGGTCCAAAAGTATTTCCTGAAATAGAAAGACTTGTTATGTCAATGTCAGATACCAATTAGTTCTTCTGTCCTAAAATAAGTGCCTACATTTTTATTTCAGTTTGTCCAAAAATAAGTGTCCACATTTTTATTTTAGTTTGCCCCAAAATAAATGTCTACTTGACAATTCTACCCCTAACTATGAAATGGATAAATTCATTAGAGCATCTCCAACAAATTCTCCAAAATCGAGAATGAAACTCCAAAATTTCAAAACAAAAATACTTTCATCTCCAACAGATTCTCCATTTTGGACATTACAACATTGATTATATTTATTAAAATATTCCTTTCCTCTAATAAAATATTATCTCATTCTAAATATTTATTTCGAAGTTTCCTATCGGTGGAAGTATATTAAATAGTGTTTCTCTTTCATTGTAATCATTTTCGGGGTGTTCTCTAAACTTGAAGATTTTTACGCTTTCTTCCTACTTTCTCCATTCTGGAGAAAGGTTTTGAAGAATCTGTTGGAGCAAAAAGCATGCCAAAAATCCCCAAAATCCATATTTTCTCCATTTTGAAGAATATGTTAGAAATGCTCTTACTTCATCTATTATTAAGGTAAAACTGCCATTTAGTTGATTAAAAAGTGCAATAATCACAAATTTCTATAATTGCCTTTTTCATTGTGGACATCTATTTTGGGGTGGAGAGAGTATCTTACAACCATTAAGAGGAAAGACATCTCGAGACTCGGGGGTCTTCACGAACACAACATCTCTGCCTTTTGCAATAGAAAAAAGGTTTGCATACATCCTACTCCCAAACCCTACTTCTACATGGGATTTACTAGGTCCATTTTGGTTTCTGTGGCATTAAAAATGAAAGACAAAAACACTAGCTTTCAAGTATCAAAGTCAAAGGTAGCCATAAATCCATGACCCATTGAAACATGTGTTATGTAACTAATCTATGACATACCAATTAACCTCAATGTCTTAAATCTTAACAAAACCTCATGCAAGTATGTATGAAAGGTAATGCAAGAGCGGACCCACTATGGTGCATACGGTGGCACGGGCCATGGCTTTGTTCCTCAGTCATAGTGTAAAAAAAATTAGGGTTTTGAAAGGTGTCACTGTATTATTTCGTTGGGTGCAACCATATACTCCTTGAAACTACAATAATAACAAAGTTCAATTTGGTAGAGTTGGTTTGCACATTCTTTTCGCCCCTTCCAAGGCACGGATTCGAATCCCAGTTGTATCATTTTGTTAGTTTTTACCTTTTAATTTCAGAATTATTATGTTTCTGAAAAAATTTGGTATAAAAGACTCGAACACAAGACTTCACATACAAAAACCAAGAAACTAACCAACAGACCAATGATGATTTTGTAAAGAAAATATCCTTGGCTTCGTTTTTTATAGTCAAACCACTGAAATTTTCTAGGTTCGCCTATGAGGTAATGATGTTTAGTAAGCTATTGGTGTTACCTACTTCATGAATTGAAACAAGGATATGGTAATAGATACTATCATAAACGGCAAAAACAATAAGCATCTACATAAAAGGTCAGTAGAAATCATACTCTGCCTTCAGGGTTCCTTTTCATCCTTTCAAGTACCCTCTCAAAAGCAGGCTTCCCAGTTGTTTCCCCCAAAGCGGCTATCAGATCCGCTCTTCTTGGGTCCACTAATGCACCAACTGCAGACCCAAGAGCAACCGCAGCCTGCTGCCAACCCCTAAGACGGACTCGAGCTCCTTCTACCATGGTGGATGTATGCTGAAAATATAGCTTTGATCATTTCAAAAGCATAATACAATTGACGATGAAAAACGCTTCAACAATTACTCACTAGTCACTACCATGAATTTCATGTTAGTGGACGTTTATCAACCGCTTACTGGGTGCAACTTGTCTTAATGGGTGAGCATATGGTATGGACCAAGAATCTTACCTGGTAAGTAGGAGGCGTAGCAAATACCAACAATCTTATCCGATAAGTGAGGGAGAAGACTTGGGTCTGTTTCTTAGCAGCTTATTGATCAGCTTAATGAGAGTCACAACTTATTCGGTTAGTTATATGACTGTTTGGTAGTGGCTTCATGATATAAAAATGTGGCTTATTGAGTAAGCTTCTAGGGGGAGATTCATGGAGATTTATGCAAAAATATCAAATACACTTTCTTTGATATTTTTTTTTAAAAATAAATTTTTTTAGTTACAAATAACAATAAAATTAACATTTAATGAGGAAAAAAATGTTTACCATGTATTGAATCATATATAAACATAAAACGTGAAAAAAAATCCAACCAACCATAAACCAAACCGTTCATACAAGTTGACACATCAAATACGCATATATAAATATTGTTACCAACAAGCGTTTACACATAGCATCAAAGCAATAGGTAACACAAAAATATTGTCCAAGCAATATGTAACAAAAATATTGTCGAAGCAATATAGACCGATCATTGATCCAACATAACAAAAAAATATTGTATTTACCACCAATTGATCATTGGTCTAACGTAACCAAAAGATATTGTTTGATCATTGGTCCAACATGAAACGGACCCAATTTTCACGTCTTTCCTCCTTCAAGCAAAAAAATAGTAGCATTATATATACACAAAACAGTAGCATTTTCTGTTTTTTTATGCTTCTGCACAAAATCGATTATAATGCCAATCCAAGCCAAGTTTAACGGCATGAAAAACAATAAGCATATATATAGCACGTTCAAAACAACTGGAGTTATGCACATGTTCAAAGGTAAATTTACAAGAAACCATTATAAGGATGTCAAAAGTTCTGTTAGAAGCATATACACAAAACAGTAGCATTATATATACAAAACAGTAGCAAACAAACCATTATATATACCAAAAAGTAGCAAACAGACCATTATATATACACAAACCAGACATAGGAAGCATATGGTGTAGAAAATCTATTTGTGATGGAAGCATTTTCTGTTTTTTTATGCAAAAAATCGATGGAAGCAGATGTGTGCAGAAAATCGATGGAAGCAGATAATGTTCAACAGATGGAAGCAGAAAATCGATCGAGTGTAGATAACGATAGCAGTGTTCAACAGATGGAAGCATAAAATCGATCAAGAAGAAATTTTCGAAGCAAATGTGAAAGCAGAGAGAAGCAGTGTTCAAACCTGAAATCGATCGAGAAGAAGATGTGGAAGCAGTGTTCAATCGAGATGAAAATGTGGAAGCAGTTTGATCCAGAAGAGATGGAAGTAGTGTTCAATCGGAAATGGGAGAAAGAATGTGGAGCAGCTAGGGTTAAAACATTGTAACTTGTAAGGAGGGTATTTTTTTCATTTACATAATTTGGGATGAAATGGATTTTAATTCCATCACTTCCCCTAAAAAATGGTTAAATCCTTCAAATGGTAGATTTTAATTCCATCAATTCCATTCCAAGGGTAACCAAACTTTGGAATGGAATTTGATCAACAGAATTGCCCATTCCAATTCCATCGGATTCGGGTGGAATCCGACGAACCAAATGCCTCCTAAGTGAAGTTTAAAGAGAATAAAATACAATAAATAAAATTTAAAGAATGAATAAAATGTAAAGAAAGAGACGTATTTTATGTTTTAGATGATATTTAGGTTTTATCTTGAGTTATATTGTTAAAATATAGGTTTGTTCCACCTTGTTCAGCCGATGGGGATGGAACATGCAGAGTAAAGTGGAACATTGATCCTTGTTTTGTTCTATCATGTCCAGAATACCAAACACATCCTTAAATCATGTATACAATACCAATATCCATCTAAAATCCAATAACTTTCTATGACGTTTTGGGTCTTACACAGTGATGACCATATTTAATCTCAACAAAAATGCTTTTACTTCTGAAAAATCCACATCATTTCTAACAACTGGGATATGATGATCGTAAGTAAACTATCATCTTGCATTATTTAATCATCTTCACAAACTACAAAGATGGAGTAAAATACTTACATTACGGAAACGAGCCACCTTCTAATACATAATTCATCCTTGGTGCCCTAAATTTTCTTATAAACCGAACACACTGCATCAAACACAAGTGATTAGTACAACCACCTAATTTAAGCTTCAAAATAAATACATTGTGTGTACCCAGAAATCGAGTTCCATGGCTGAGTAAATCTGTCCAGGAGGCGTTCCAACAATAGTCCAGTCCAAGACCATGGAAATCGAGTCTGGAAGAAACTGAGAAATTCAAATCGAAAACCATGGTTGAAGAAATCTGTTCAGGAGGCGTTCCAACAATGGTCGAGTCGAGAACCATGGAAATCGAGTCTGGAAGAAGCTGAGAAAATTGAAATCGAATACTATGGTTAAAGAAATCGTACCTGGAGAAATCGAGTTCGAAGGTGTGGAGGCGATGAAGGATCGAAGTCGCGTTTGATTTGGATGGAGCCGATGAGATTTTAGTTTAGGTTTAGGCATGAGACGTAGGGTGCTCAAAAACCCGCCAACCATCTATCCGATCAACCCAATCCATTATGAAATAATTTAATTCGAAACAATCTGATGTCTAATCGAGTTATAAAATTGTTAAATCATAGGTATTAGATTGATATTGAGTTATTATTATTTGAACCCAATCCAACCCAATGAACCCGACGAACCCGATATCCTTTTATTTCTTAGATTTAATATGATTGTTGAATTTTTATTAATATATACATTAGACAATTACACTATCATGTATGCTTTTCATATACACATATTTCCAATCTATTCATATCTTTATATAACTCATTCAGTAACTGTGAACATATATATATAAATTGAGAAAATTAACTGAATATGATATACGTAATAAATATGAATAAGTTGTATCAAATGGTTGATGATGAAAAAGAAATTATGAGTAGAGAAATAACATATTAAAAGTTAGAAGAATATTTTAATATACCAAAGTATCAACCCGACCAACCCGACTAACCCGACCAACCCGTACGGGTTGGGTTGGGTTGGATTGCATTTTGGTTTGGGTTGGATTAAGATTTTTCCAAACCGCAAACATTGGGTTAGGTTGTTCAAATGTCCTCAACCCGATCAACCCAACCCATAAACACCCCTAATGAGATGTATAAAAAGGATACTAGTATTTTGGTGGGGGGAAAAATCTAAGTTTTGTCTAATAAAATTAGGTTTGTTCCATTTAGGGGCGTTTGAGATTGCTTCTAAAAATAACTTATTGACGTATTTTGATGTTGCATCGGTAATAAGCATTTTTGAATTTGGATAAACAACTTATACCGGTGTCAAACCCGTAATAAAGAGTTTTTGAAAAAGTTAAATCATTCTAACTTATAATAAGTTGATAATCACTTTTATAGAAAAAAAACATAAATCGTTTCAAATAGCAATCCTTAGTTTAAGAGTTGTTTGGTGGTTGCTGAATAATTAAATTGTCAAAATAATTAAGAGACTCTTATGATATAGTGCAAAATTAAATATAATTATTTGGTAATCGTTTACAATGAAATTAAAACGTTGAATGGTTAAAGGGATGCCCATGATGCAAAATAATTTAGAGAATTTTAGAACCATTAAAAGGTAGATTTTTTTTTTGTCAAATAAGATTAATCTCTTAACGATTTAGAGGCTGTCTTTTAATAGAACTGTTAAGAGGTAAACAAACAACCTCTAATCTTATTTTTGTTTTATAGCATACCAAACGTAAGACTATTTTTTTTATCTTATCTTGCTTTACATGGTCTGAATTTTGTCCTATAACATATAAAATATGAATTATTGTTCCACATTTGACATGAATTTTATGTGGAATAGACATATTTCATCCCACCACGTGGAATAAATTGGAACAAGTCTATATTTTACCACTATTCCGTAATAATGAAAACATAGTTTTCTTGTAACATATCAATGTCTCCCATTTTATATTTTATCTATTTTCAAATTTTATTTATTGTATTTCGATCTATTTAAACTTTCATTTTATTGTTCTCAAGATATTATTTTTGTATGTTTTATATATTTTGGTTAATTTATGTAGTTTATTAAATATTAATAATATAAAAAATGTATAAAATAAAAATTAGAAATTACATGAACTTTTTATTTTAGTGTAATTGTCTTGACAAAAACTAATAATTATATATTTTGTTATAAAGGTATTTATTATTAT